GCGGTTGCTGAAAAATTAACATAGAACCCAGAAAAGGGCGTCCCGATTCCTAAGGAGATAACTTTGGAGTTTGGGGGCGTTGTCAACCTGGAGAGGTGCATCGATTCGATGAATGTTTCGCCTTTCTCATGTTTCGGATCGGTTGTCGACGTTGCACATTCAGATTGACCCCGGTGACCCGAAAGCCGAGCAAAAAAGAAGCCCAAAAAGGGCACGACGGAGTGAACAAACTTTACAAAGTGGACAAACGCAACGTTGCACTCACAAAGAGCTTAATTCAACTGTGGGAACTTGAAAAAGCTTCATTGCATTTTGCAACAGAAGTTGTTCCCATCTACCTGGAAAAGGCGACTCGCGGCTGCCAGGAAACGAGCGGTCGATTTCGTTCTGAAAGTCAGAACCGTGCACCAGAGAAGGGTGGGAACACTAAGACGATCATGGACACAAGAGAATCTGAAAGCTTGTTGGGATTATTCGAACGGTGATCAACCATATGACGTGAGCAACAGAAACATCAAAGCACATATCAAACAAATGTCGACCAAATGCGGTCATAGCACCAACGGGTCTCAGCATCCCAGATAGCATGTCAGTGTCGAACCTTGCCGCCCCTGTCCCAAGGCTGAGTGTGTGAACACAAGGGGCTGGAATTCCCTATCAGGTTGTCTCAAATACCGGAAGCAAACACATGGTCAACCCTTTCAAAAAGGATTCCCTTATGCAGGACATAGCCATACACCAAGGGAGGTGTCATGAGAATCCAGGCCCGTTTTCAATGGCTGCCCTAATCACAGTCTTGATGCTTCCGAAAAGGAGTCACTTGACTTCCCCTTCCAAAAGTTGCAGTTTGCTGGTGCCCGCACCACTTTCGTAGGTCCAACAAAGCAAAAACCAACAAGCAATCTGAGCCCCAGGAATTTGCTGGCTTCCGCTTGAGGCTCCTTAAGCACACCCCAAAAGGGCGTCCCCTGCTTTTTGGACACCAAAAACGGAGAAACAAACGGTTGAACCTCTATTTCTGCATCCGAGCATGGCGGCTCCGTACGCTCCTGCGGTGACCACCCACATGATGCTGGCCAGCCAATGCACGTAGAACTCCCAGGCCTGGTTCACATCGATGCTCTGATCCACCTTCGGTATTTCTCACAGGCCAGCCAGCCCTACCCCCCCCCTACCCCCCCTTCCCCCCCCCTTCCCCCCCCCTTCCGCCCCCTTCCCCCGCCGGCTGTTTAGTGACCCTTTGCACAGAAAACGCACAGGCCGTGTTTGGCTGGCGGATCATCGAAACAAACGGGGACTTCGTGCCGCTGTTGAACAGGCCCGTGTTTTGCAGGCCCAAAAGGTTGCTTTGGTGTTCCGAAGCACTCGGGGCTTTGGGCGGGTTCCAATGAAGTGAGATTTGCTAGACCCCCCCAAGAAGCAGGATTGCATGTTCACCCTTCGCCTTCCGGGGGAAACCCATACAAAAGAACACGGTTTGGATGAAGAGCGCAATAATACGTCACTTGCAAACAATGACTATCACACATGATCACCATTTGAGCACGGCAGCTTTGTTGGCCCTAACTCAAGCTGGAACTGGTGCACTGAATCCGAAGCCAAAGTGATGAGATGAGGGCGGAACCAGCTGAAAACCTGGATGGTTTTTTGCAGGGGGCCTTTTCAAACGCTCAGCATCCAAAACCCTTTCGTTTTCTGCCATGTTGAGCTGCAAGTGAGTACTCACTTCGTGACCAAAACAAGTCCGGATTTTGTGCGTGCCAGTCAAATGGTTTTCCTTTCACGTATCAAGCAGGAACTCAGGGATTGACGTTCAAAAGCACATTGGGTTGTGTGTGTCTGTTGCATTTCTTAGCCTTAGTTATAAAAACCCATTGTTTGTTTGGATGTTTCTTGAAGCAAATCGCAATGTTTTTTACCAGCACCCCCCCAACAACTGTTTTTCCCCATGGTACGGCAAACAAAAGCAGTCGTTTGGGCCCGGGTGCTGGTGTAAAAAACCCAAAGAGCCTAACACAACAAACATTCGACCCGCGTGGCGGTGGTGATGAAGGGCGCGCGGATTCGGCTCAGGCTCTCCGCCGAAGCCGCCTGCGATGCGGCAAAAGGGGCGGCCCTGGGCCAAAGCGGACCATATGGTGAAAACAAACACCCAAACGAAACTGGGCTCGAATGGGGGAGGGCCAGGGAATAAGCGGAGAAGATGTTTGTTTCTGGGAGGGTGCTGGGGTGGACTGGGTGGTTCTCAAAGGGGCCAAAGCCAAAAGGTGGTTCATTTCTTACAACATCCCAAACGCCCCCCGGGTTTGAGACAGATCTCAAGTTCAAAGGGTGACCTGATTTGAGGTGCAAATCTTCGCTGGGATTTGAACCCCAACCTTTGAAACCAAAGGATATAAGGCACCCCCGCAGGTCCAGGGGCAAAGTGGTGCATCCCCTGGGCCTTTGACACAAGAAGAAATAAAGGTGATCACCTTTTCGGGCCAGGGCCGATGTCAAAGGGAACCCCCACACCGGATGGCTTCCTTTTGGTGTCCCTACAGCCACTCAATGGGTACCCAACGACTCGGTGTTTGTCCGATTTCCGCGCGGAAAACAAAGCCAGCCCTCCCCCTCTGCTTCTTCAATCTCCAAACTCCCCAAAAAAACAATCACGAAAACAAAAAACAACCGTTGTTGGGACGCCACCCGGGCGCCTAAAACGACTCCGCTGCTTCGATTCCCGCGACTCCGACTCCGCCCCCGAGTTCTGCTTGGCCCGCGCGCTGACCGATCGACTCCCCGCCTCCAAACGGGAGAAGTAGTGCTTGGCCATGGCGATGAGCTCCGGGTCCTTCACCAAGGCCTCCTTCCTAGCGATCGGGTCGGATCTCGATCGCCCATGCGATCATCCGGCGGAATGAACGTGTTGTGTCTTTGGGGGAGGGGGGAAAAAATGGAGAAAGTAGGGGGCCTGGGGGGTGGTCTGTTGATGGTTGCCTGTTATGGTTTTTATGTTCATCTCAAATCTGTGTTCCCCCTTATTCGTTTTTAAAAGAGGGTTTTTAGGGAGCTTATTTATCGTTTTCGTTAAGGTAATCATTTGGGTAAATTGTCGCCTTGTTCATTGTTGGGCTGGGGGCAGACATTTTTTTCATTTGAAAGAGGTAGCCCTTTTAGTAGTTATCAAGTTCTGGGGTGTTGGTGGTGTGTTTGCTTTTGGGTCGCTCGTCCCTTTAATTCGGTCGTTTGCCACCACGCCACGTCTTCATCCTCTACTTCATTGTTTCAGCCAGACACTCAGTGTGTCGTTTGCTCTGAACATCTTCCAGTATCAGACATATGTTTGGAGAGCCAGTGAAAGAATGGTGTTGAGAGGGGTAAGCAGTCTTCAAAGCTTGACTTGTCGCCACGTTATTTACTTCAACAACTTGATGTTTGAGATTGCGTCCAGTTGGACTTTGCCTGTCGTCCATCAAACAGCCATTTCTCATCAATCGTGCCCTCACTCTGCCCTGCTTTGCTTCAAACCCTTCGGTCTGAACAATGGCACCCAAGAGCACTCAACCTTCTTCGGCTTCGGGGTACGCAAACGCAACGGACGAGAGCCAGCCCGCTCAGAACCAGAATTTCGTTGAGATGATGATGGCTCAGCTTTCTGTTCAGGCTTTTGCTTCCGATGTTGCGGCATCATCCACAGATGACCTCAAGAACCTTCTCCCGTCGCTCATTGCCAAGATGGAGGAGTATGAATCAAAGTGCAAGTCCGTCAGCGTCGAAGTGAAGCAGCGTGAGAAGGAGTCCAACCGTGCCGTTGCCAAGGCCAAGGCCGTCCAGAGGAAGGAGGAGCAGAAGATTGCGAAGGCCACCCTACGCAATGCTCCATTGACCCTATCCATCAGTTTGAAGGACAAACACTTTGATGTCACGACTTCTGGCTCTGACACAGTGGGGGAACTTCGTCGTCAGATCGCCTTGACCTTCTTCAACCTCGGATATGGCAAGATTAAGAAGACGCTGATTTCCCAGATGATGCTCTTCTTCAATGGCGAGGAGTTGCACACTCGTCCGAGGGCAACGCTTCACAAGTTGAACTTGGCTACTGGTTGCAATCTTCAAGCCACCATGGGCATGAACAACCCGACAGGTGCTGACATCATTGACCAAGCAGTGGCCGAAGCGGATGATGATGAAGATGAAGATGAAGAGAGTGATAGTGAGGAAGAGCAGTGAGCCGTAGACACATGTCGAGCTTCCAGCATCTTACACGAGTAGCTTGGTAAAATAAACATACACTCCCACACATATGTCCATCTAACAACACAATTACAGCTGTGTTGTGGAGTTCGAGCGAAGTGTGTGGTAGATGCTGTGGTTGTGTGAGACTACAAGCATAGGACACGCGCCCGTCCAAAAATAGTTCGAGCATAGCACCAGTTGTCAGAACAATCGCTGTGAAGTTTGCTTGACAAGTCATGCACCTTGTCGGATTGTGTGAACAACGGCCTTTTCATTAACCAGACCTGTTGCTCAATTCAATGTAGGGATTGCTTGTGCCTTCCTGTCCTTTCTACAATGCCAAGCATAGTCTTCATAGATTACGGCGTGGAAACTTTACAGCTGAAGCCCTTCTACCTTGATGAAGACAATGTTCTCATTGTCAAAACTTCACAGCCTTGGACACCGAACAACAGCGACTTGGAGAGGATGACAATCAAGCAGTTGAAGTCGTTGATGAGCGTTCAGGCATCCACTACAATCAGAAGCGACTTCAGAAAGCCTGACTTGATTGCGACCCTGATTTCAACGTGGCAGAGCACCATGAAGGAGATGGAGGAGAAGGCTTCTGTGAGTATGACCCCACCGAGTGATGGTGATGGTAATGGTGGACAGCAAGACGATGTTGATGAACATCGTGAACCTTCAGACGGTCATGAAGGTGATGGTGGAGGGTCGGATGATGACACACCAGATGAAGACCCAGAAGACTTCAGCGATGACAGTGATGCAGTGCCCCAGTCTGTCATTAGGGTCTTCGTGGATGACAGCTTGGTGAACACCAGACATCCTAGACGAGCCTATCCAAGCTTCAATGTCAAGAGAACGTGGCCTGTGCGATGCCTGAAGTATGTCCTGATGGGGAAGTATGGCATCACCCCCAACAACCAGAGACTGGTGAAAATCAGTGGTGAGGAGCTCCTTGAACAACAAAGCTTTCACGAGAACAATGTCTATGACCAGCAGACCTTGAGGCTACTGGTTCGTGCCAGAGGTGGAGTTTTGAGGAGACAACAGCCAGCAACTAAGACAGAGGCACTAAACGCAGTGAAGAAGAAGATTGAGAAGAATTACAAGAGCGGGACCACTGACCAGCAGGTTGACGATGACACCTTGCCACTTTCCTTCAAGTCCTACATGGTTGAATACAACCAGAAGCTATCGGACTTCCAGATGATGAAGTCCACCATTGGCGACAACTTTGTGGCAACGTGCTTGAGACAGTTGAGCTCAGAGAAGTTGAGGGTCTTGCAAACCATTTTCACGAATGTCCCAGGCAAGAAGAAGTTGTCGAACGAGGAAAGAGCGGAAAGAGCTCTCCCCGTGCTTTTTCCAGCACTCAACACTCTCAACAGTTGTCAACTCAAACTGTCAGAGATGGAGAGCGACTCTGCGGTGAAGCTTCTTCACGTTTTTGTTGACGAATTCCATAGCTTCAGTCAGCAGACGGGTGTTCTCCAGTTGGACGGGGCACTCTTTCTGAAAAAGGTAGAGGCTGTGTTGGACAACCGTGAGGGCGTCGCTGGTGATGCCTCAGAAGCGGTGGCGTCCAATTGTAGCATCCAGTAGAAGACTTGCTGTTTTGCGATTTGACTTTGGATGAATGCGTAAGACATCCATCAGAAACCAGACTTTGCTCTTGGAAGAAGGGTAAAACAAAATGTGAGGACAGCGCGACCGCAGAGGTTGGAAGACACCCCAAAAATATGTGTGATGATTACCCCTCAGTCAGGGTAAGGTCTACCCCGAAATCTGGGCAAGGGTAAGGTTTATACTGAGAGAAGGGTAAGGTCTACCCCAAAAACGGGGTAAGGGGTACCCCAAAGCTGGGGTAAGGGGTAAGGGCTACCCCAAAATCGGGGTAATGGGGTAAGGTTTACCCCAAAATCGGGGTACACCACCACCACCAACACCACCACCACCCCCTTTTCTCCCACCGCTCCCCACATTTGCTCTGTCCTGAGGTTGAGACGTCATTCAGAACATCGCCTTCAACACTGTCGTCTATGAGGTTTTGGTTGAGGGAGCGGGTAGGGATTGTGGGTCTTTTGCTTTTGTTGTTATCCCAATCCCACCAAAACAAGGACCAAATCTCCCATTTCTCAACTCCCCCAAAACCAACAAACACATAAACTTCAATATGTTCAGTTTCAACCTCATCCCCAAACCCACATTTCCAGTTTCAAACCCAATCCCAAACCCAATATACTTATAAGACAAGAGAAACGAGAATATCTCAAAATATCAGTATTGATATTTGCATTTTTCAAATCAAGGGAAATAACACTAAAACCCAAATCCCGAGCAACCCGACCAACCGAGCCTGTCCCTGAAAATAATTCTAATAATTTCATATTATTAGAACTATCTAGATAATTATTTTATGGAATAATGCCCATATGGTAATGAAGTGAAAGCATCACTATAAAACCTTTTATTTTCATAATTACTCAGACTTTGCTTGACTTGAGACATTGAATATATTTGATGCGACTTACTTCTGATGAAGTTATATGTGATTTCATGCTTTTTGTTTTGAAATAATGCTTCGTGGTAGTTCTGATACGACAGTTCTTTCTTCACCTTGTGTTTTACTACACCTTTTGACTTTTTATGTTCATCATCCTCGCCATGAATTGTGAAGGCATATGATTTAGGTTTTAATCCAATGAATTTAGTAATGATTTTTCCATTCACTTCATCCTTAAACATTCCTAAGACCTTCTTATTAGTTTTGTCATGACATGGATGCTCAACAGGGTAGTCGCTAAAATCCATGTGTTGCTTTATCTCATTGAAATCCTTATAAACATCATCAGTCATTGTTTGAATTACATAACTATCAGTATCAGTATATATCAATTTGATGTTTTCATTATACTTCTTTTTCAATACATCATAGTAAAACTTATACATATGTAGTTTGCTTAAATCTAAAATGCTCATTCCTAAGAAAATGGGTTTATCCAGTTTCAGTTTCGCTTTAGTTTTTTCAACTCCTACCAGATTTTCATTAATAATAAACCTGTTTTTGAAAGTTGGATTATTAACGCATTTTTCATATCTTACCTCATTATCAACTAATTCAAAGTCCATATGGTTTCGCTTGTCTTCCATAGTTTTTCCGTACACCGCGTTATTCATTAATTTGAATAAATCTTTCTCAAAATCGCTTTTGGCTTCTTTCCTTTTACCTGTGTTAAAATCAATCCACGGTTTCAACCATGCCCTCTGTTGAAATTTTATTATCCTATGGACTTTTGTCATTTTCATTCCCATTTTCAAATAATACTGTAAAGTCTTGATATGAACCACATATTTTTCTTTATCCTTTAGATTTAATATTAACTTACTTGTTTTCTCATCCTTGGGATTTTTGCCATCATAATATATTTTGTAGACTTGCTTTTGATAATCAGAAAGCATACTAACATTTACATTCATTATTTCAGGCGCTAGTGGATAGTCAGAGTGGAAGTCGTGCAATGTTTCGGGATATTCCAAATCAACTTCCATAATATAACCGAACTCATCGTTTTCATTCCATGTTTCAACACTGGGCGTTTTCTTTGCCCACTTGATATTTTTTAGCGGT